GTATAAAACACAAAGGGATTGAAGAATAGTGTGAAACACAATATATATGAATTTTACAAACAAACCAACATACGTATAAATAAAAATGTCTTTGGAGGTCTTGGCTCTGGACTAAGTAATGAGGAGGTTACAAATGTATACATTTAAGTTGTCCCTAAAACTAAAGGATGATTTATATTTATGGATAGCTTTGCCCTAACATATCATATTGTTATCATGTGCCCTCAAGTCAGAACTTACTCATAGCTGATCTTCCAGCAGGTTTTCAAAGGCCGTAAACGACATGTGAAGTGATTGACCATATTTCTCCTGAGAAGGGTCTGGAGAGGTTGAAACACGTGCCTTTGGTTTGGCCACACAACTTCTTATTCACTAGACCACCAGAGCTCCTAACTAGGAAATGACAAAGACCCCACTAAACACAAAACCACTGCCATCAAGTCTGTTCTGAAGAACAGCAACCCTTTATTGAGTGTCCAAGCTGCAAATCTTTATGAGGGAGCTCTGGTGGCATAGTGGAGAGGGAGTTGCACTGTCAACCCCAAAACATGCAGTTCCAATCGGCCCACTGCTCTGTGAAAGAAAGAGGAGTAATCTCCTCGATGTGATAAACAGCTTCTGAACCCTACTAGAGGGGCAGCTATGAGTTGATTCTTCTTGATGACAATGAGTTATGAGAAGAGACTGTCCATCACCAGGGTACAGTAGATGTGAACTGCCAACCTTTTGGTTAAGTCTGATGCACTATGCACTATGTCACCAGGGCTTCTTTGCAAGGCTCAGGTTGTTGGTATGTGCTGTTGAGTCGACTCCTAGGACCTTATAAATGAAGGCTCAGAACCTCGTCCTATCCAGAGCTATCCTCATTGTCTCAGACCGGCCTGACCCCATTGCTACAGCCACTGTGTCAATCCATCTCCTCCAGGATCTTCCTCTCTTGCATTGATCCTCCAGCCTTCCACGAATTATGTCCTTCTCTAAGGACTGGCCCCTCCTGCAAGGGACCATATTGCCTGATGGGCCTATTGACAAATGGGTGTCCAGGTCCACTGTGGCTGGGAACACTCTGATTTGCGTTTTCAGATAGAATCTAGCTGAGTATTTAACAGCCCGACCCCTCTGCTAGGGCCCCCAGGAGATGGTATTTTGAAGACGTAGTCATGAAATATGAAAGCTTCTTATAGTTCCCGTGTGTCAGGTTCTGTATTAAAGCAAAGCTGTTCTTATATGGAATCTTTAGAATAGTCACACAATAAAGGGGCTTTTATTTTCACTTGATGAAGAAGCCAAGACTTAGAGAAGGTAAGTAACTAGGTGAAGGTCACCACCTTATATGTGTTTAAAAAATGAATCCATGAAAATCCTGTGAATCATTTATTTGACTAACTCACCTACAAAGTCGAATGTATGGTTCGGCTGTAGCATTCTTGCCTTCCATGTTGGCCTCAATTCCTAATCAGCGGACCTTATGCACAGCTACGTGGAGGCCTGCAGAGAAGTCTCTGTAGCTAGAGCTTGATGGATTTAAGTAAGGTGTAGCAATCTACTTAAAAAAAAAAATCTAGCTAAAGAAAGCCTCATCCATTCCAACCACTGTTCTGCAATTGATCACAAGGTTGGTGTAGGATAGGGGGGTGTTTTGTTCCGTTGTGCACCAAGACACCAACTCATAGGTGGCTGACAATGACAATGTTGTGTAAATGAAGCAGAGACTGTGGGTCTGCAAGGGCAGATATTTCTTGAAAGGGCTGGGCAGGACTGATTTTGTAAAATTGTGTTTTGAAGATCATCTTGAGGTCTTGCAACATTACATGTGGTTTACCAGGAAGATCCTCTTTGGGGGAGGTTAGAGGCCATTAAGTTTAAACAGTTCCCCAGAAGCTTGGCCAGTATTCCCTGCAAGCCATCTGGGGGCCCTTACCAAGAAAGATGACCCTGCAGACCAGTCTCATTAATCCCTCAAGAATGCCCCTTCTGATTTCCCCCAAGGACTTTGTTCGCTTTGAAGTACCAGATGGTAAATGTTTAGCTTTAAAGTTACTTTTCACCCAAAACCCATAGCTGTAGGATTTTGTGTCTCAGGCGACTTGTTCTTCAGCACTGCTGTATAACCTTCAAAGAACCAAGGGTGCATTCTTTCTTTTCTCACAAGATTGTGCAAGGCAGAGAAGCATAAAACCACTCTGAGATAGGAGAAGCAGTGGCAGCTCTTTTCTGGAACTGGCTCTCCTGTTGGCAAACTTCTTTTCTCACTCACCCTTAAAAAAAAGTTCATGTCTTTAATGGTCAAAGTCTGTTTTTAACAAACCCAGAGTATATGAGAAACCTTTACTCTGAATTTCAGTCTGAAAGATCTTTCCTTTGTCTAAAGCCAGCCTGGCCAATCCACAAAGCTGACCTTGTCTCCTGACCCCCTCTCACCCACAATAGATGAAGACTTACTCGACATTTTCGTGAAACTGAGGTTTCACCAATATCGATTCAACGTGGCATCCCTGTGTAGGTGGTGGACACCAAATGCGGTTGCTTTTACATTTGTTTCAGTGAACCTGACAAAGACATATCTGGCTAGTCCCAAGTGCTAGAAGAGAGAAAGAATCAAATCCTTACAGTAGCTCAGGGAAGTTGTTCCAGCGTTTATGGCCACCTGTCAGATGTGTAAACTGAAGCTCGGAGGGGAACTGCTCAAAGCCACAAATTATGGGGGCTGATTTTAGATGCAGAACATCCCAAGGACAATTCCCTTTCTTTCATGTCCCTCAACAACTGCTCCATTTCCGGGAAGTACTGATATTCTAGGTGGTTGTGTTAGGTGCCATTGAGTCAGCTCTTCTTCACAGGGACTCCTGTGCTGTGAATGGTGACACCCTGGTCCATCCTGCTCCGTCCTCAATAGCTATCATTTTCTGAGCCCATTGCTACAGCCTCTGATGTCACTCCATCGCATTGAGGGTCTTCCTCTCTTTCAAGGACCTTCTACTTTACCCAGCATAATATTCTAGGCTTTAAGCAAACCTCAAAGGCAACCTTATAGTCTCCTCTAACAGGCTGGTGGTTTCTCCTTCTTCAACATGAATTCCCGGAGAAACCAAAGGCGAGGTGATTAAATAGTGAACGGAGGGCTATGCTTCTAGCACCTGCCGCTTATCACACTTCTCTTTCTTGCAGTTCCCAAGGCAGCTGAGATTCCCTCGGAGACTGGAGAGACAGGAAAGGTGCTCAGCTGCTTCCTCCACTTGACGCCACAAAAGCCAACCCTTGGAGCAGTTTGCAAACGTCTTGTTCACACACAAGGTTACTACTGAGGTCTTTTTCATCTTGTGATCAGAGCAGCTGTGTGTGGTGTAT